GGTAAAAGGTAAGACAAGGAAAAATATTAGTTTATTTTATTCCATTTTTTCATTATAATGTATAATATACATTAAATCACTTGATTTGTAAAAAAATCATTGATTTAAGTTATCAAGAAACATTTAAACTGTGTTAAATATATAGGAGTCTATATATCCTAGGTGCCTGGTTGCAATAGCACCTTAAAAATTGCAACTGGCGCCCAATATTATAGCAAAATTTATCCTAACTCTTATCGGAATCCAAAAATTTGAATATTTTAAGGCTGCTGGCTTTTAAAAATCGATCTTGGCTCCTAGAAATTTTGAATTTTTGGGAACACACACACACATATATATATACACACAGATGCCAACTGCTCTGGGTTTACGAAATATTTTTAAGAAATAGCAGAGAGCTGCAAAATAAAATTTGCAGATTTCTGGTTAATTTTGCCAATTTTTAAAAGACTTAGTATGACTTAACTGCAACAGAGTGATGTATCAAATAGGCTTTTGAGTTGTTTAGAAGTAGCAGTGAGTAAAAACCCTATAAATCGAACTTACTAAACCAAGAATCATACATAAAAAGACTAACACTCAAATGTTTATCCCCTCTCTGGAGCAAGTTGGCATCTCTCTCTCTCTATATGTATGCAACATAGAAAGCTTCAATTAATCTTTTTATGTTATTTCTTTTCTGTGAATCCTTTTCTTTTATTTTTATTATTCTAATCAACATGTTTTCTCATGCTTTTAAATTCACATCCTGTCCTTAAATCTGTTTTTGGCTCAAGTATGCATTAATTAAAAGTAAAGACATTTTTCCCTTTACTCTTTGTGGAAATCACACTAACTATTTGATAAACCAATTACAATTGCTAAGATTTCCCTAAAATATAGTAAAATAGAGGGAAATTCATTTGCTACTTTCCCTACGATAAAACCTTAAACACACAGTTTTGGAGTGCAAATTTGAGCTCCGCCATTGATAGAAAATGTTTTGAATATACTATAAAGCTCAATAAATTATTTTTGCCTTCCAACTGCTATCTGCGTGGCTCAACAACAATCGACCATGACTGCCACCCTTTCATATATATATGTGTGTGTGTGTGTGTGTGTGTATAAATATATATATTGGTGCATGATAGTAACACAAAGAAAACATGAAGAAAAAAAATTGAGAAATTATGTAAAATGATTATTATTGAAAAATATTTTAAAAATTATAAAACGAATATGGAAATTTTGAAAAATTGACACCAGAAAGATATAATTAGTTTACTAGATTATATTCACAAAAATGAGTGCTTTCTGATATTGCATTTAATATAAACAAAGCAAATTATATCAATACAGTAGAGAACCATTTATCCGGTATTCAGATAACCGGGAAAAATTTTGATTGGTTTTCCCGCCATTTTAAACTCGGACGATTATGAAAAAAGGCGGAAATTGAACTCATCCTTGAAGTTGAGTAGAGGAAAATGTAAGGAAGGGGAGAATTTTTTTTCCCCGTTTACCCAGAAAAACGTCATTTCCTCCGCGTCCTTGAAGGCAGGGAAGGGAGGAATGTTTTATTTTCTCCTTCAGGCCGTCAATCAAGCTCAAGGGTGTGGCATGATGATTTCGTTTTCTGTTTGATTTACGAGGGGGGTGGGGAAAATGCATTGCATGCATATCAGTGAACAGAAGATGAAAGAGAAAAATATATTTATCTATTTGAGATCAATTAATAAAAATAAAATCTTTTTCTTCTGAATAAATTCTCATTCTTTGGAAGTGCGGTATCATTTGCAAGTTTTTATTGATGTGGAATCACATCTGCTGCAATTAAATATCGTGTTTTTATCAACAAAAAAATAAAAATAAAAGGACAATTGTTTATTAATTTAAACATAGGATTATTTTCTGAAGCAGATTGCAGTTTTGTTTTTCTGATTTCACTACGTTTGATTTTTTTTTTCTTTTCACGATAAATTTCGCATTCAATAAATTAATTCTTTTTATTCATAAATTTTATCATTAGGTTTTTTTTAAAAATTCCGTTGATCTTGCCGTGTTCCGGGTTTTAATATTTATGCTAGTGCCTTTTTTAACTATCGTTTCGGTTCGATAATTTTCAAGTGTTTTTATTTAGATTAATAAGTTTTCCTTTTATTTTATCGTTTCCCTCGTATAATTAGGTAGGAAATATATTGCATTATTTAACCATTGGTTTTGTTTATATTAGTTAATTTAGGAATTGTAATTATTTTTAAAAAATAAATACGAGAATTTTGTATTTTTTAAACTTGTTTTTCTTGTCCAAACTTGCAAATTTTTTAATTCTTTTTAAAGTTAGGAGTACCTTTCTTTTTCTCTTACTTTATGCATTACACTTTTTCCTTGTGATTCGGATTCGATAAAACATTGATTAATGACACTTTTTGGTCGATCCAGAAAACCGGGATAGCGATGGTCCCGAGCATCCCAGATAATTGGTTCTCTACTGTATAAGGAGTGCCAAAAAAAAAATTTTTGACCGGTTTCTTAACAAAATTTAATCAAGTGAAAAGGAATAAATGAAGAACATATTAAATTAGGAAAGAGAAAGATGTCATGTATTGACGTTAACGAACAACTTATACAAATCTGGCAGCATAGTTGTAAAACTATTATAAATTATTTCTACTAGTAGCGAGAGTTTGTAAGCGTAAGCTTCGATCATCTTTCTCTCTCCTCCCTTTATACGTTCTTCATTTGTTTAAATAATTTTTTTTTGTGTTTTATTCTTCTATTGTTTTCAATAGATTAAATTGTGCTAAGGAATCAATTTAATATTTTTGGTTCACCTCACACCATTGAATTGATGTATTTTAAAAAACTAAACTCAGTGATGTGACAGCCCATAGAGGGCCAAGGCCTACTGTGCCCATCTCAGTTTTCTTGACCTTGGGCTCTGGGGTGCAGGAGCACATGTTCCGGTCAGGTGGTCAGCCGAACACGGAACCCCCAGTGTTTAGTTCCCAAGCATGCTTGGTACTCATTTATCGACCTACTGAAGGGATGAAAGACTGAGTCAACCTTGCCCGGCCCGAGAACCCTCAGAAAACACTAATTTTTATGAATATAATCATGTGAGCTGAAGTGATTATATCTTTTGGTTGCTAATTTTTCAAAATTTCCTATTTTTTTTTTTCTTCAATAATAATTCTTTTAAATAATTGTTTTTCTTGTTTTCTTTTTGTTATCTTATAGTTTGAGTTCTGTGTACTTGCAGCTTTAGGGAAGTAAATAAAATTTTATTATTCTTCATAAATTTCTTTTCTTACAGTAATGCTAATTTCTTATATTTATACACATACCTGTATATATATATAATATTTGAATTAATCTTAATGCATGTTTTTCGGCAGAATTAAGAGAGGGGCGAACTATGTGTTTGTAAATCATATTAAAACCATTGACTCAATTTCTTTTAACATTTTATATTTCAATTCATCAACTGTCTTACCAAAATCTTTTGAAAGAAATATTAGTTATGTATTTTATATTTTTCAGCCCTGTATATTTTGACAGTACAGTAAACTTTGATGTAGCTTGTAGGAGACTTTTGTGGGGTAAATTTATTAATGCAGGTCAAACGTGTGTTGCCCCTGATTTCGTGTTATGTACAAAAGATACTCTTGAGAAGCTAATACCTGCCATGAAAAAAGTCTTGAAAGAATATTTTGGTGAAAATCCCAAAAATTCTCCTGATCTTGGACGAATACTGAATGAAAGACATTTCAAGTAAGTTACACATATTTGTTGTTTATTTTTTAATTTTGTACCAAATCATTAACTTAAATCTGTCACTTTTGGAATAAGAGCTTAAGTTTTTTTTAACTGATTTAACATGAATACTGTTATATTAATAAATTACTGTTATAAAATATACATAAACAAAAAGGAGAAGATATTATAGTTACCTTTCAAAATTGCTATTGTGCATTATTTATCAGAGTTCTCCCTAGGAATTTTAAAGGATTGGGTGCTTTCTCACAAAAAAGGGATACGGCAATCACTTAGCAGCATAAAAATTGATCAAAATATATAATATAACTCAGTTTTTATACTTTAGACAATTTTTAAATTTCCTTCCTATACTATTTTATGTGTTTATTTCAAAAAAAGTATACTAGAAAAATGATTAATTGATATACATCTTGAAAGCTTTTTTCTATAACTTAAACTGTAAATTAAAGGAAAATAAACATTTAAAGGTGAATTTTTTTAAAAAAGAAAAGAGGTATTTAATTTAAAAAAATAAATTTCAAAATCACTTAAAATTTATTAATATACCAAGCCCGAAAAAAAAGATACTTATAAAAATTAAACGAGTTGAGGATAATCTTAGCAAAGTTAATATTTGCAATAGTCATCAGAATTAAACCTATAAACACAAATAATTTTATCAATGCGTAATTATTATTTAAACAGTGAAATAAATATTGTTAAAATGGAGTATGAATAAAATGACAGTGTTTTTAAGGGATGATGCCTTTTTTTTTTTTACAAAAAGCGCAAAGAGGGCACATTTATAGGGATCAAGAGGCAGGTAGGTAGCCCGCCTATCTGAAAATGCTTAGGGAGAACACTGTATTCATATGCTGCCCATGAAACAATATTAGAATAAAATAATAAAAATGGTAAATAATAAAACGTAATTGAAATAACCCATAATTTTTAGTGTGTCATTTCCATGTGTTTATTGTAACAGTATATGTATTTCCCTTTATTCCTTTATATTATTAAAATGAGTTCAGAGTAATAATAAGCAAAACATTCAATCACAAATATTATTACAAATAACTTGATATTCTTGCTTTTTCTCAGAATATTGTAGCAGGAAAAACTTTTGAGTTCCAATGGTAATGCATTAAAGTATAAAAGAAAAAAAGGATTTTTTTGAGAAAGTTTTGTACAAATTCTCTGAAAGTTAACACAAATTTTGAAATTTTTTTAGAAAATGTACAATTTTAATATATTAAAAAATTTAATTGCATTTTTTCTATTTATGTGTATTTTTATTAATAACTTGTGATTTTATTAAATTAAGCTGGTGTTTGAAAATGGACAAACGAATTAAGCATCTAATAATTTATATAAAGCAATATAACTTTAAAAAAATATTTTTTTAACTAATAAAATAATATGTAGGACCATCAAAATGCAATTAATATTACCCCTAATATTTTCAATTAAATATCCTTGTGAAAAGTAAATCAACAGTAAACTACATTTTAACTTATTTTTCTGTAAAATAAAAAAAAATTTGAAAGTTAAAGAGTGTTTTTTGTTTTGTTTTTTAAATATTTATTAATTCGATTTAACGACAACTAAATTCAATGGCAAAAACGATAAGTTTTATTTAACTTACTGAAAGGTAAATGCATTTAAGAATTTCTGTAGAAATTGATAAATAATTTTTTATTTTTTAGTCGTTTATTAGGTTTAATGAAAGACGCCAATGTAGCAATCGGAGGTGATCATGATATTTCAATAAAGTATATTGCACCCACTGTGATGTCAAATGTTAAACTGACTGATCCTGTAATGCAAGATGAGGTTAGCATTTAAATGTTATTTAATATTTGATGANATATATATATATATATGCTTTAGTATTCATAACTATGTAAAGGAGACTGCTCTACCTATAGACATTATAAGTGTTTTGAGAAAAAGAATCAAAAGTCAGTTTCATAATTTTATATAACTTTTGATTTTTGTATTCATAATCAAAACTATGTGTATAGTACCTACAGGCATTCATAGATATTTAACATTCAGAAATGCCTCTTGAAATGTGTAAATACATTTTTTTTATTATTGCCATCATTATTAATGTTTCCTTAATTGTTAGTACAGAACAGAACCCGTTATCCGGAAATCGGAAAACCAAAAAACCGGAACGAAATTCGATAAATTTTCCCGCCATTTTTTAAACAAAATTTTTTTCTCCTTATAAGATTTTAGGATTTTTCTTTCTTTTTTGAAAGATGTTCACCTTACCATCATTTTGGAAATAATCATCAGTGTATTACTTCATCGTTTTTTCTTCTTTTCAAGATTATTTCCTAAAAAAAAATTTTTTTTTAGTTGGGTTTAACAATAACAAAACGGCTTTTTGTAGCGATTCAGAAAACCGGAAAAATCAGTTATCCGGAATAGTGATGGTTCCGATCGTTCCGGATAATCGGTTCCGGATAATCGGTTTTTTATCACAAGTGTAAAATTATGTGATTTTTAGTTTGTAGTTCTAAGATAAAAATATATAAATATCCATTAGGTTAAATTCCTGAATTATATATGAATGCTTTACTTGCCATCTCAATTAACTATATTTTTAAAACTTTTTAAGTGCTTGATTAAGTGCAACAAATTCAGCAGATTTCTATCGTAAAATATTAGCACCACTGAATAACAAAATGTTTTTAGCTATGCAAAAATTGATAATTTATTTCAGGTTGTTATTAATCTTTGTTTTATGGAGCTATTCAATTTGACAAGGAAGACATTTATATTAGGAATATTGTTTTTATATATTGTCAACATAACTATATATTGTCAACATTGTCAGAATATTGTCAACATAAGCACTGAGTAAAAGTTAGCATTCAAAGCACTGAGTGAATGACATTTGGGAGAGAAATGAAATTACGAAAAAAAATATATATATATATATATTTTTATTCAACTTTCTAATTATGTATTTTTAAAACTATTCAATTGAATTTTGTTTGATAATATAAGAGCAGATATTTTTTTCCAGTTATGTGTAATTAATGATTGCTCGTTTAGATTGATCATATTTTTGTTCATATTTAAACCGCTGATTGTAACATGGTCAGAAAAGCATGTTTTGCCTTGTGAGTCTCAAGATACACCACATGCATATTTTTTAATAATTTCAATACCTTCTGCTGATAGGAAATGTGTTCTAATTTGTTGCAATCTTTCAACTGAAATTTTCATCATGCAAGAAATGTTATTCTAATATAATAAGTACATTTTCGTTTAATGTATTACTAGACATTTATATTTGTTTTATGGAAATATTTAGATTAATGTTTGTATTTTATGAATAATATTAATGTTTGTAGTTAATTTATAAAAGAATATTTGTTTATTATGTGGAGAAAATTTATATTTGTTTTATTTAGTTAATTTACATTGTATGAATTAGGAAGTAGCAAACTTTTTCTAAGGCATGTAACTTTGTTGCCCGCATTTTTTTTTCTCAAATGACTATCTTCAGTATTCAAAACCAAGCAATTCATTACTTTAAATAATATTTAATTATGTTTTCAATTTTTTAAAAATTATTATGAAACTAATTATATTTCCATTCCTAAAAATAATAAATCTAACATTATCAAATAGCAAATATTACGTTTAAGAAATGTATTAATATCCAACATTCTTGTTATAATAATGTTTCTTACATACTCGAGAAATGATTCTTTTTTGCTCATGTTTGCTCCTATTCATTATGATTTGACATTAATTGTTTTTATTTATTAGGTTTAAAATGTAAACTTCTATTTTTCATACAATACTTCTGCAATAAGTATTTTTTTTTTTACCTTGCTTTTTAAAAAATAAATTTGTTGGCATACAATTGTTTAAAATATACAACTTTTGTCTGAAGCAGTTTTATCCTATTTGACTAAAAAAAAAATTTCAATTGTTTTTTCTGGAAAAAATATCTGACAGAGGAAAAAATTTGTGTATTTAAATATTTCAATTATATTGACTATAAATGTAGAAACTAAAAATTAAATTATAAAAATATGTCTTTGGGTCCCCACATTCCCCTACATACATATAACTCTTTAACTTAAAGGCAACCTAATCAATCCATAGTGATGAATTCATGAAGGAGAGCCAGTTTGTCAGCAATAGTAATTCGGTCAGCAATTGTGGCTGATTGGAATTTAAGTAATTTTTGTTAATGTATGAAAATGTCAATCTTGTATATTTTGTTTTAGTGAAACAAGATTTATTTTTTTATGAGTTGTTCAATTGCAAAACACATAGAAATTCTATAGTTGTCTAATTAAAATGTATATTGTATCACAAAAAATGTCATATTAGTTTTGTACTTATTTTAGTTTCCCCTCCTAAATTAAGCATACTTTTTGCTATATTTCTTTTGTGTAATTTCTTTTATTTCTGAGTTTCATTTTTCTTATTTAGTTTTAATTTTTCTAGATATTCGGACCACTTTTACCAATAGTTACAGTAGAAAGTCTTGATGAAGCTATTGATATTATTAACAGCAGGTGATTCCATATTGTTATTAAAATATTGTTTGCCATAGTGTCTGTTATTTTGATATAAATTTGATTGGTTTAAAAATGTACCTTGAAATTTATTTCTTAGGAACTATATAATTTAAACTATTATATAATATCTTTTCATTTTTAAATCTTTTGTTGAATAACTGTGAAATAAATTATAAATTATGTGTAATAATATATTTAATAGAATTGAATTTGTTTCATAATTTAAAATATATTTAACATTATTTTTAACTTCTAATTTGTTTAATAAGCCATTATGTGCACCGTAATAATAAAACAAAGAATAGAACTTTTCTAATTATCCAAATTATTTAACCCCTTAACTGCCGCGGGCGTATATATACGTCTCGGCCAGAAGATGCGATAACTGCCGCAGGCGTATATATACGCTTTCCCGAAGTACGATGCTTTGCATTGCGCTGCTATAAATAGAACTACACCCCCTACTTCAGAATGCAGTAAAATGGCCTTGAAAGAGTTTGCTTTGCGAATGTATTACTAATTTTGGAGGAGGGGGAATGGGAAAAGGATGTTATGGAAAAGTGATTTCGTATTAATCGCTTGTGTGTATTTATTTGAGTAAGATCTTATTCTTTTTTCGCTTTTGTTTCCCGTATGTATTTGGTGCTTTTTATTCGTTCCATCAACGTCTTCAAAGAAAAATGCATCGCCAAAATGTGCTGTTTGTTCAAGAAAAAAAATTCGCCGTGAATCCCGCTCTCGGTGCGATGAATGTGATGTTGGTTTATGTGTCCAACCATGTTCCAGGATTTATCATTCAACTGCTAAATTTTAATATCTTTTATATTGTATTTTTATTATTTAATTTAAATTTTGTATTTTCTTTCTTTCCTTTTTCTTGTCTTGTAAAATTAAACTGTTTTTAAATTGCAATGCGTGCATCATTTTCCCCACCAAAACACCGTGTAAGAAACTGCACTTGAGCGAATAACGGTGGCACTGGGGAATGAATCACGTTAATTTTACTCGACAGTTAAGGGGTTAAATAGAGATATTAAAATCTAAAGTAGAATCATTGAGTAAAGTACAAAATCTCCATCTTACAAAATTTTCGGCTTTACACAAGGATAATAATACCTGTTTTAAAAATAATTCTGATAATATGTATACTTTTTCTATCCCTGAAAAATATTTAATTAATTCTATTAAAATTAAAAGGTTAAAAATATTATTTATATTATTACTAATAATAAGTATATTGCATTTATATTTCTATGTTTTCTAATTTTACACTGCTAATAAAACTACTTTGAGGTAATAGATCCAGTCAACATTTCACTTATCTCGTATTGAAATATATTTTAATGTGAGGAAAGATATGTGAATGGAAGGATGGAGAAGGCAGAACTTCGTAAAATTTGAAAATGTATCCTTAAACAACCAGGGGTAATTGTGACACAAAGTGAAAAATCCTGAAAATTTTATGTGCAAAAACCGCTATATTGGATTTTTAAATTGCGAGAATAAAAGTCGGGATATACGATTTTTAAATCGAGTGAATATGAATCACTTTTGAACCAGGCAAATACGAAAATGGATGATTGATATTAAAATAGCGTGAATAATAAGCACGATCTTAGCAGATTCCATAGCAGTTTCAAATATTCACAATTTCAAAAATCTGCCAAACCTTAAGAATCGTATGTATGTAAATGTCCCTTTAGCAGGATTTAGCAAACATTTCCAACTTTTGTTGGATCTGTGAGCCAATAGTCATGAGGTATGTGGAATGCTAGGATATTTGCTTTAAATTACATGTGCTTCGACTCTCCCAGTGTTGAAAGAAATCAGTCTACGCTGCTAGAATACCAAAAAATCTGAACATTTTGACCAAAAATTGTTCTTACTGAACTAGGTTAAAAAACTGAAAAAATAGGATTTAATCAGAACAGTTGGTAGCAATGTAATTATTGACAGCAATTATGGTAATTTAAATTTAACCATCAATGTTTTAGATACTAAATTTTTTATCAGTTAACTTAGTAATGTGCTGTGAGGGATTTATGATTAAATCAGCACAAATAAAACACACATTTTATTGCACAATTCGAGTATCATAATAATACAGATTAAAAATATTGGGAATTTCAAAACCATGTGAAGTTGCAAAGCAATAACTGTTGAAAAAAATTATAGAAGAATAGCTTGGATTTACAGGGAAATTGGCACAAATAAAGAACATTGAATGTAATTATTAATACATGCAATTCAAAACTAGCGAATCATAATAATATGGTATTAAAATTATTGAGATTTTAAAAACTACACAAAAATATTACAACAACTGCCAAAAACGCAATCAAAAAGTTGTTTAGTCTCGGAATAACGAAGAAATGGAAAGAAAATAAAGTGCATCAAAAAATAACTATTTCAAAATTTGCATATCAGAATAATATTATGTTAAGATTCTTAAGACTATGTTGAAATCTGTAGTAATAATCACCAAAGAAACTATCAAAAATCTACTTATATTTCCAATAAAATGTCTGCAATTCAAAATTCCCAGCTTCTTTTCAAAGAAGAAAAAAATTATAATAATTATTTTTCATTGTGTACAGTCTAGTGGGTCACATGTTGTGCACTTTTGCAGTTTAGTTCTTTTCACTTGCTAATTTTGCTTTTAGATAGTCTTAGTAAATGTATTTGCATGAATTATCAATATGTTAACAATTTTATATTTGAACTTAGGGATAAAGCATTGACTTTAAATATCTATTCTAAAAATCCAAAGACGATTCGCAAAATTATCGAAGGCACATCAAGTGGAAGTGTGTGTGTCAATGATTCGATTGTAAACCTCTCTAGTAAGATATTATTTTATTCTAATTAAATAAATTGCCTGTATTCTTTTTAATGAAAAAACTAATTATTCATATTATTGTTTAGTTGAAGCTCTTCCTTTCGGCGGAGTGGGTAAAAGTGGTATGGGTGCATATCATGGAAAATACTCTTTTGATACATTTTCTCACAAAAAGGCTGTATTGATTCGAAACTACTCCATGATTGGAGAAAAACTTGGAGAGTAAGTGGAAGATATTAAGTGCTCTATTGTTTCTTGAAAATATCTAAACACAGTTAAATTTTAACTTATAATAACATCCAGTGTTCCAGATCCCTAAGCGCTTTTAGAAAGGCAATCTACCCTGTAGGCCTTTTGATCCTTATAAATGTGACATTTTTGTAAAAATAAGCCGTCCATCCCTTAAAAACATTGCCTTTTTATTCTTATTCCATTTTTAAAAAAGTAAATTCATTGTTTAAATAATAATTGCCAGTTGTTAAAAAATTAATTTTTTTAGGTTTAATTCTAATTACTATTACAAATAATTACTTTGTTAGGATTATTCTCACGTTCAAATTTTATGAGCATCTCTTCTATAATAATATTAATAATTTTTTTAATTTTTGATGTTCATTTCCCCATAACTTTCAGTTTAAATTATATAAAAATCTTTCAAGTTGTTTATCAATTAATAATATTTTTTAATTTACTTTTTTGAAAAATAATTTATCATTTTTCTGTTAGAGATTATCTATTAGCATGCCTTTAACTATTTTTATGAATTACAAATCTACAAATTTTACTCTTATTCTGATAATGAAAGAGAATTATTTTTTGAAATATACACATAAAATAGAATAAGAGGGTAATTTCAAAATTGTTAAAAATCAAATTCAGATATTATATAATAACTATTTTTCAGTTATTACCTGTGATAATTTTTTACGGTGTTCAAATGATAATATACAGGGAATAAATACCCTTTTAAAACTTATTGTGTCCTTTTTTGAGAGGCAGCTCCCTTCCCTTTTTTATTCATAGGGAGAACTCTGCTACATCTATTTACTGAGAAACATTTGTTTATTTATTTTATCACACTGATTTTGAGTTTTTTGCAACTGCTTTACCCTGTAGCATATTAGTAAGGTGTTAGAATTGTATCAGATGTAGGCCTCCGTAAGCTTTTTTGCTTTGTGTGTATGTGCAGTTTTTATAACTAATAAGACAATAAGTCTATTTTTCTGGTAGTCTGATTAGTTTATTTTTTTAGAGTTAAATATAATATTGTAATAAGATCAACTGATTCTTCAACAAAAACCTTTTAAATATAGTGTAAGTAGGAATTAGAAAACAACTCACAAAAAAAGAAAGCGTGAAATCATTCATGTTTTTGTTATTAAAACTTTTTGAAATTCTTTAGGATTATCTTTTAAAACATCCTTAAGTCGAAATTTAAGGTGGTAAAGAAATAATAAACTATATGTGTATTTATGAAATTGAATACAAAAATGAAAAAAAAAAACAGTTTCTTTTTATGTTATGAAAAATTAATTTGCTTTCCCTTTCATCTTGTAGTCTGAAAAAAAGTCACCAGTTATTTGTTAAGGTTTCCAAGTTAGTTTTTGCTAAACACAATAAATAAATTACTAAAATTGTCAAATTTATTGTACTTTTATGAATTATTAATGTTTCATTTTAGATTGTAAATTTTTCCATTTAAGAAGAAATGATTTTTACCTCCTGAATTAAGTTTTCAATATTTTTTTTAATTGATGTAAATGTTAAATTTATATCGGCAAAATCTACTCTCTGTATTTTTTTTCTTCTTTTACTTTCAACCTATAACTGAAGCACGATCTTGTAAGATATTTAACTCCAAGGAGAGAACTAAATTTTACTACAATAAGGGATAAATATTTAAAACAAAATAAATAAAAAAAATTCCAAAAAAAAAACTTACAGTTTGAATAACTTTCTAATCAATTAGAATTTTGAAAAATATAGTTTTTGACTTAGATTTTGCACAGCAGAACAAAATGTAACAATTATTTTTGATTTAAACTAGAACAAAAAGCAGTTTTCACACCTTTAAAGAAATTAAAAGAATGTTACCTATCAGAAACATGTATCCTAATTTAATTTAATGACATTATAGAGCTCGATATCCACCTTATTCAGAAAGCGGTGAAAAGTTTTTAAGAAGATTGTTAAAGAATAGACCTGGCATTATTCCTTCTCACATGGATTATGTTGGAGTGTTCCTGATTGGTTTTGCTTCTGCAATTATACTGAAAGTCATACTACATGTAAGTTGGTCTATATTATTAGCATTTAAAATAGATTTGGTTCATCAGATAAATTATGAAATTTAATTAACTTGCTCATAATATTATAAAACGGGTGATCCAAAAGTCAGTTTACTTTTTAAAACCTTATAATTCTTAAAAACTATTTACAATAAAATAATGTGGTTTGCTCAGAAACATGGGAGATTTTTTCTCCCTTCTTAATAATGAAAAATATATATTTGTTTCATTTACTTTAAACAATAAAAGTGTTTTAACAATATATCTGTTAAATGTGTTTCCCATCCTTGAGAATTACAGCCATGAGACGATGAAAGAAACCCTACACAGCATTAAAAATCATTTCAAAGGGTATACCTTAAACATAGTGGTGTATAGCTTCTTATATTTTAACCAGAGACTCTGATTAAGGCCGATCACTATATACCCGTGACTTTAAATATCATCACACAAAAATGTCACAAGTTGTTAGATATGTAGACCTTGGGGTGCCATGCGTGTGGAAAACAATGTCTGAGGACATGGTTGTCTCTGAATATCGATCTCAGAAGTGTCTTGACAGGAGTAGCTATATGTGGAGGTGCTCCATCCTGCAGAAATATTATTGAATGAATTGCTTGCCTTTCTTTCAAATAAGGGATTACTTTATTTTTTAATAGTGCTTCTTTATTTCTTAATTGAGCTTCATATATGACTTTATTTTTTCATAGTGCTTTAATAGCAAGTCATATAATAGAGCTTTACCTGAGACAGAAACTGTTTGAAATGTGCCAGCATACAGTTCCTCAAAGAAAAAAGAACCAATGATTAATGATGCCGTAAAAACCATGCCAAACAGTCATTTTTAGGTCATGAAGTGATTTTTCAACAGTACTATGTGGATTTTTACTTGCCCATATATGGCAATTGTGTGTTAATGCTTTTACTTACTGTAAAGTGAGCCTTGTCTATCCACAAAACATTTTTAGTCAATCTGGAACATCCTTTATTTGCAAAATTTTGTAATAATTTGCAAAAGATATAAGTCTCTTAATTCAACTGCAACACCATCTCTAAGTCAAAAATGTAACTAATATTTAAAAAAAAATTCCCTATGTTTCTGAGCATTATGTGCAAATTGTATGGTTTTATTGCAAATAGTATAAGAATTATAAGGCTTTCAAAAGTAAATTGACTTTTGGATCACCTGATACTTTTCAATACTCTAAAAAATAAAAAAACTAGATGTAGTTAATTTAAATTTCAAAATTTCTGTCTTAATGCACTTTTTCTTACCAGTCTTTAAAGAGAAAATATAAAAAATGAAAATTACATTTATAAGAAGAAAATTCAGTTTAAAATTATCTTTATAGTCTATTTTTTATAAACTTTAAAAAAAAAAAAATCTTTTAAAAGTTCCTTGTTTTTAGGTTGCTTTGTTATATTATTTCTAAATATCTTTTAATTTGCATGCTTTCCAAAAAATATTTACTATATAATAAAAAAAATTAAATTTTTAATATTTTATAAACAAATAAATAAGCATTTTATTTAAATAAAAAACTTATCTAAATAAAAACTGCTTTTTAAGAAATCTTTATTTTTCTTATTAATTCTATTTATATATTCATAACTTACAAAAACAACCGAAAGTTTAATAATTAAGCTTGAGCATTATAATTGTAATATTTTAATTATATTTTTGACAACATATACAAATTTGTAAATTAAATATTTATAATTATATCAATAAATTTAAAATATGTAAATGAGTCCAAATTAAAGATCCTAGCTGACCATCACAAGATGAGCTCTTAATCAGGTTGCTTTTATCGAGGTCATGGGCTCATCTTCAGAATTGTCCGACAGTATACATTTAAAGAAAAATGTAAAACAAATTTTATTGTTTTGCTAGCTGGGAACAAACTCACAATCTCTTGGCTGTGGGCCAGGATAGCCTGGTCGGTAGGGCGCTGGGCCCATATCCAAGAGGTCGTGGGTTCGATCCTTGCCGGCCGAAGAGTCCCCCTGTAGTAAATGGTGACTGATGCACGTTAAATCTGTCGAGTCTCAAAGTCCTCCATGTTCCCACAACAAATCCATACCTCTGGGGGTACTGATCCAGGAGTTTCCTTGTCTGCTGGATTGGTTCAAAATTACAAGGCTACGGAGTTGAACGTAAGTAGTCGTAAACCCATGAAATTGGGTTGGCTGTTCAACGACGGTTATAAAATAAAATCTCTTGGCTGTGAATTTCGGTGAACTATCATTAAATTTTTTTTGTTGCTAGAAGTGTTATGCTGCATTCTGAGCTAACATTTAGTATAATAAACATAAAAATGCATGCTCCAAAATGATTATTTGTTCACAAATGAAGAAGTACAGTGCTATGTTGAAAATTATGCCAAAACTGAACTTCATATTATCCTCAACATTGCTAAACATATTGAATAATGGTAGGACTTTTTGAAAATGTATACAATTCTTTTTGTAACAATAATTTTTGGTTGTATTATGAATCTAATATTTTTTAACATCCTTTTTTATTTATTTTTATACAGTTTGCTGGTGTCTCGTACTTTTAGCTTTCTGATCAGAAAATGTGTCTTGTGTCCAATCCTTTTGGAAAAGATAAATTTTCAGCATATTTTATTGTATAAGATCTTTTGTTTTTAATTTGACAAAATAAGAATTATATGCTTACTTGACAAACATTGCATGATGTTTTATATAAACTATTAGCTAAAATTTGTTGAAATCATTTAATATCATGTTGAAGATTTAGTTTATTGCTGTGATATAAGCTCTTTAGTTATTTTCCCTAATTGTTGTGTATAATGTTGTCTAAAAGTTTTTCTTCTTCACAATATGTTTTATTACATATGCTAGCGGCATAAATATTTATTACAATGTTGTTAAAGCTAATTCATTGTAATTAAATAACAATATTTTTATGATTTTAAGATAAGCATGTAAATAAACTGTATTTTCTTTTTAATATCCATTTTAAAAAAGTATTTTGTTCTCTCCCATTTTCTTTATATATATATATTTAAGCAAATTTACATATATGTGACAATAATTTAATGGTATTATGTCAGTTTAAAGTTACATATTACATTTAATTTAATCACAATTTTAATGTGCCATGTATAATGTATTAAAATAAGAATATTAAGGTGCAATTTGATTCAGCTGACAACGTACATTCTTATTCGAATCGCAATAATGATGTTTATGTGATTAAATATATCTAACTAGTATACATGATTCAGTCTTTCTTTATTGTATATATATTTCTAATGTCTAAAAATATTTTTATACTATGCTTGTATAAATATGTGCTCTTGTCTTTTTATATTTGAACACAATAAAGGATTATATCGAAACATTTTACTTTCCAAGTAACATAAAACACAACATTTGAGTCACAAAACTACAACTGATGTGACAAATGCTCTTTGTAAATCTAATTGCTCTTATTTAGCAATGTAATATCAATAATACTAAGTGAATACCTGAGATTAGTTTTATGCACATATGAATTTAAAAAATAAAAATTCAATACTCTTAACAATGGAAACAAATCATAAACTCTTCAGTTTTTTTTTTTTTTAATCTTTATTTCATATTTTTTTTTAACTCTTTATTTTTATGTTATCTATCTAACAAAATTATTTTCTGATAACGAAAATTTATTGAGGGGCAATTTTTTTATTATACAGGATTATATACAAGGTCTGGCTATTAATTTCCAGGACTCATGGAATAACTCAGAAGAAAAAAAAGTTAGACACATAGTCATTTAATATTATTCGAAGTAATCCCCATCAGCCGTAATACACGTCTGTGCCCGGCTGTACAAATTTCGAAAAGAAGTTTTAAAGTCCACTTTTGGAATGCTCTTTATTAGTGACGTTACAGTTTTCGTGAAGGCTTCGACATCCTGAAATCTTGTTTCCTTCGGTGAATTTTTCTGCTTAAGAAACAGGAAAAAGTGCGTGCTAGATCTGGTGAGTATGGTGGATGCTGCGACTCAACGACACCATGCTGAGCTAAGAATCGCCTCAGAGGCAAACGCAATGTGTGGACGCAAACTTTTTCAATTGCTTGTGTGCGGATCATTTTCCACGCTTTCGCGTTCAAAAGTGTTTAAACCATTCAAAAGTTCTTGAGCGAGATAATGCTTCCTTGCCATAAACTTGTTGTAGGTTTCTGCAGCTGCCTTGCCCAATTTGAAGCAAAATTTAATGTTAATTCTTTGCTTCATTTCACTTCGACAACAGGAATTTAAGAGCTCCGTTTTAATGCGCCTTTCCACGAGAACCACTCACTTCAGAATGGCGCCGATTGCACTGCACATGCGCAAGAAAACACTCTTCAATATGCAATTATTAGCGCCATATTCCGGCTTTTCTTTCTCCTACAGTTACCTCAGTCCTGGAAATTAATAGTCAGACCTTGTACAATACTAATGCATATGTATATTTTATGCATATTTGAAATATTGCTTGTAACAGTGTCTTAATTCTAGTAAAACAAAAATTTGTTTCATCATAGTTTTTCTAGTAATTAAATTTTTTATTCTTTCTTATATTTTTGGGTGTTCTGTTCATCAAAAGAATCTTAATCAAAAAGTGATTGATTGCTTAAAGATTGATGATCCGAGCATAGAACCCTGTCATGTAGCAGGGAAGCATTAAGCACTAGCAATCGACTGCTGCGCCTCCTTAAAATATGTTTACAAATACTTATGAGCACTTATGTAATAGCAACTAAAATTTGTCATAATCTGCAATAATATTAAATAAGGCAGAACAAGGTGTAAGACCATATTTAATACAGGTTACAGAGACACGAAATTGTTTTGGATGGACAAGTACCAAAACAAACGATTGTCTTTGTAAGCTACACATTGTTAAACTGTATATAATTCTACAGCACCATTTTTAAAATAATGAGAGAAAAAATCAAACATTTTTTTTTTCTTTTTTTATTTTAGAACATGACATAAATAGTATTAAAGATTTAACATTCAACGATTCACACATCAACAAAGCCAGATATAAAAATTGTTAATACTTGTTTTAAATCACTTAAAATTGATTACTGATGACAATATAAGAAAATAATAACACAAATGATTCAAGAATAAAAAAAAATAGAAATATTTATTACTAAGTAATTTTTTAAAATTCAGAATTAGTTAAAAATGAAGTGTAAAATTCATACCACTTTGACAAACTTTGCAAGTTTCAATGGGATCATTTAAAATAAGAAATGCCTGGAGTTGTAATATCCATGCACATAAAACATTTCCCCATTTTTATACAAAAGTAAAAGTACTCTTAATAAAAAGCAGATATTAAAAACTTGTGACAGATTCATAAATTTTGAACATCCAGTATCCAATTACAAACATCAATAAAAGTACAACATTTTACAGCAAATCTAAGATAAAGTATATTTAATCATCCAAACTCTGTTTTGCAAAGCACAGTATGCCTATTGAATAACAAGTGGGAAAACTAGTTATCTGTGCTGAAAACAAAAATATTGTCCTTCAAACGAGTTTGGGGTGAACAGTTAGAAGGTTAATGCAATATAAATCACTGAAGTAGAATTTAACTAAATTAAACAAATTACTGTTTTTTTAAAATGTTTACCTTTCTTTTAATTGGCATAAAACATTTTAAGTTGAATATTTTGTTCTTAATTAATGAGAACAGGAAGAACAATTATGATATATTTTAGATTGTTAAATTAATCTTTATGTACACAGACCATATAAATTTTCACAAGCATAAATATAATACACAGCTCTAAAGTATAAAACAACATATTATAATATCATGAAATATCACTACAAAATAACAAGACTAGATGGCTTATTATATATTTAAATTTAAACAATTTGTAAGTGAAATTAATAGTTGATAGGAACTTTCTAAAAACAAAACTAATGACAGTCAAAAACATCATAACAGACTTAAAGAATATTATTCAATATTTGATTTAATAAATTTCAGAATTTTTTTTTTAATTCTCTAGGCATCAAGTGAAGATATTTTCGAACATACGCAACACATTAAATACCATAGAAAAAAATTGGTACTCTGCGTAGGATAAAAGCTAAGAAAAGAAAATTAATACTCAGAGTTCAGCAACTGAGGTAAATGGGTTGTATAAAATATCCAATAAAATGAAAACACTTTTTTATTTTGTAAACAAAAGTATATAAAACGACAATACACAGCAGAAATATTTGACATTTTAGGAACACTTAGTTTAAAATTAGATTATATGCCTCTATTAATTGCATGCATTTCAAATTTCTGTATAGTGCTTTATTTTTAGCTTGTGGATAAAGCACAGGCTTTACTAGAAATAAAATAATTCCTTGGAGAAAAAATTAATGCAATAAATGGAAACAAGATTTAATCAATTTGATAACATGAATATTTGTTGACTTAGTTATATTACATAAATACAATTTTACTTAAATTTATACTGACACCAAAAGATCCTATTTTTCTTTATATCAATTAACTATATTTTGAAAACAACAAATTGAAAAATAAATTAAGATTACGGCTCTATTATACCCATGAAAGAAAACTTAATGCTACTTCTATCAGTCTGTAATATTTTCAGCCAATTTATAGTTGCACCCACATTTAAAAAATAAACTAAAAGCGGTCTCTCTTCCAAATAAGATGCAAAGGCTTTTGAGTACCAGCTATTGCTCTTTATATATCATTACTGCACTTGTTTTGTTCATAACACGTATGGTCTAGTTATTGGTAGTGAAATCTAAAGTTGTAGTGCTTTTGCACTAGATTATATGACCGGACATACACTGTTTTTAACACTTTATTTATTAAATTTCAATTTTGCAATATATATAATGGACTCAAATAATTTGTTTTTAAAAGAAAGCTTACTTAACAGCAATCATTTTTGAAATGAATGTTTATCCTTCATTTAATATATTAAGAAGAATGAAATTTTTAAGTTTTTTTTCTATATAATAGAAACTGTGGATTGCAATTTTGAATACTATTGTAAATCAAATGAGTAAAGTATATTCATTTTAAACCTATAAGTATAACTTTAGATGAGTAAAAAAAATGTCCTTACTTGCTGAAATAAATTACATTAAAACATACAAATAATTAATACAATCAAACAATAAGCACATCTAGTTAAAATCTAGATCTAACTATAATCTAACTCTGTATTTAAAAAAATAAGCTCATAATTTAATCATGTACTGTAGGAAAAGTAAATAAAAGACAAAATAAATGCAATTATTCAAATATCTATATTGCATACAATAAAATCACAACCTAAATGCCTAATAATAGTATAAAATATCAAACCAAATAAAGCTTTAAATAATAATAAACAATTTAATTCTAAAAGGAAGAAGAAAAAAAAACATTTGCATAATAGTTGAAAAAATTTTAATACAAAATTGTTTACAGAAAAAAATTATTGTTTAGCATTAACAATTTATATTCTTGATAAATAATTTGTTTAAAATAATTTGAAACATTAATAAAGATATTAAAAATGCATATAAATAAAACAAATATATCTTACCATTCATATTAAAAGTTTTCACAGAAATATTTTGAATGAAATGGCTTTAATATTGAATCTGTTTTAAGAACCAGTAAATTTAAAAATTAATTAGACTAAATTAAGGGTTCAACTCTGAAATTCTACTCAATATGTTTTGCATATTTACCAATCACACTATTTTAAACTAAGTTTAGTATCAAAAGAAAAATCTTGAAGACTAAAAGAATTACAAGTCGATTGAAAATATAAGTTCCTGTTATAGAAAACATTGTTTCTTTTTAACAGCATTTCTAGTAAAAATAAAAAATTATACATTCATTACTAAATTTATTATTATAATAATAAGGTTTATCTAAACAAAATGTTTGCAAATTACTTAGAATATGAATAAACCACATTGGTTAATGTGATACTCTAGAAGTAGTACCTTTTAAAAATTTAAGTTTGCCTAGAATTGAAAAAAAAATATATTTTTTTTAGTGTAGAATTTTATATCTGGTTCAATTATTATAATAGTAATAGAAATCTATTTTTATCTTAAAATTGAAGTTATTAAATAACCAGGAAGTCATTCTACTTCCAAAAAAAAATTTTTTAACCTCAATGAGAAAAATAAAATGTTATATTGTATAATACAAAGCTATATATTAACTAGATTTTGATTTTTCCTGATAATGAGAGAACTTATTTTATGTTATAAAATTACATTTTGCTAAGAATGATAAAAGAATGACAGGAAATTTAAAGAGTTACAAACTTTTAAGTAAATGAATTGAATTTAATGAAAAACTGTCAATTTTGA